AACATATCAAAGAAGAATACTATGTGGGTGCGAATTGTGGCAGTTGATTCCTGGGGTCCTTCATAGTTTCTGCTGCTTTGCACTATTCTTTGAATTATGGGCTTTTATGAATGGAGTCTCGCAATGCAGGCTCTCCTAGGCAACGTTTAGGAGTGTCTTGGAATGAACAAGGGTGTCGTCTCGGACCACTTTAAGGAGTTTGAGGGCTCAACTGAGCAAGGAAACTTCCCTCATCGAGCCGGATTCAGGAACCCAGGAGCTTCCGCCCTTGAAGCCAATTACTCAATCGCGGTCCTTGGACGTTTGAACAACATGGACTTCGTGCCAATACGGTTCAAACTTGCCACGCGGCCAACCTTCACAGGTTCGTGGGTTAACGAGGCCCTCCTTGCTTTCGCTATCTCTATCGGCTGGACTCCTCGTCCTGTTATTACTGAGATACAAGCCTGCTAAATGGTACCACTGAGTCTGAAGGACCTGAATCTCCTCTCGAGACTCGACAGCACCTACTGCTATGCCACGGTGGACACTTCATTCTGATGACTCCAGGCCTCCGCCGAAGCTGGTAGTGGTGGATATAAATGGTGATGTTGTACTTTATCAAAATAATGCAGAGTTGTGGGCCAAATTCTTGACCTAGGCAAAACTTGAACTCGCACTGCACGCTTGCCGAGCGCTCGCACTATCCCTTATGCAGACAGGGCCACTCTTGATCTCTCAGCTAAATGTATTGTTGTATTGCATTTCTAGAGGCCAGAAGATTCGTGTTTCTGCTCATTAGTTGAGTCATGGTTTGTCTCTCAGATTCGGAACTTTCCGTATGTTGCTACAATTTGCGAGCACCCTGTACACTTTCGAGGAAGCGGTCTCGAACCCCCTACTTCTTCTACCAGTTACCATAATTTTTTCATCACTATTCAATTATCTCTATACTTACCACTTCATAGCTAATTTAAAAGACGACAAAGAAGACATGTTATCCCCATTTGTATTCAGATACCGGACATCACGCGATGGATACCATCCCCTAAAAACGATAGTGATGAAACGCTCAAAGGAAAAACAGATTATTAATTTCGTCTATAATATAGAACTAAGACGATGTTTTTTGATAACTATTCAAAATTTGCCAAACGATGAGGGCATTTCCTCTGAAAACTTGCGGGACATTTTAATATCCTTGAAATGACATCACATACCATTTGTTTTCGTTCTCGAAGAGATAAACGCAAATCTGAGAGTCTCTCCTATGGGCAGATGTGCGGCATTCACTTACGAGTTCGCTTGGTAGGCCACAGTCTACTCGTGCATCTACAGGATCTATTACCCTAAACCAAAACCTTAGTAAAACCATGAAAAGAAAAAAAAGCAAATAAAGACAGCACTAACCGTCCAGCAATCCCGTCTACAACGACCAAATCGTTGTGGTGATAACCATCAAAATCGCTCAGTTCCTGTAAAAGCTACGGAAACTGAAATCTCGGTAGAATACTTTGTAGTAAATAGTTCCACCGAAAAAGCTTCGCGATAAGATTTCTTACTGAGAACAGCATGTTCGATTTTTCAAAAAGACTACTTGTAATTTCATAATATTGAAAGAAAAAATTGTCGACAACAGAATATGCAACTTCACATACAATACACCCAAACTTTTAGAACGCGAACAGAAGTTAATGCCTTCTGAAGGGTTTCCTTTAATTCTACAAAGAAGTGTGGCAGAACACGTTATCTTACTTCATAAGCCTATGTGCAATGCAAAGCGCTAAAAAATCAAAATGCAGGTCCAACCAGTCCGCGAGTGAATATGACGTGTCGCACAACTGTCAAAAGCCTTCAGCACTCAATTCGAGCAGTTGCTCGAAACCAATGCTGATAACTGGACTCTTACATGGGGCGAGCACACTCAATGACACTCCACCTCTTACCTTTCGGCAACGAACGATGAGCGGATGCACCCAGAGCTAATTCAGCAAAAAGGTCCCACATACATCAGAGCAAAGACCCCCCCTACCCTCTTGAAGAATTGGACGTCATATTAAATAGGGTCCACAGTTCCTTAACACTACTAGTAATGGGGAAAGCTCGCAAAAATGATATCTAGATTGATCTGTTCTTATTATCTACCTAATTACATTGGTTTTCGCGTCGTGCACCAAACGCTTGCAATCGAAATAGATAATAATCGAACCTCTATGTCTAGCTTAGCATGCTCCCCAAGCCGGGGTCTACGACGATTTGTCCTGCCGTCTTCTTCTTCAGCTGATGATTCAGAAGAAGGAATGTCAGCTGACAACGGACTGAAAGAAAACGCAAAAATAACCATGTGCAAATCTAACAAGGAACATCTGAATCGGTATTAATTAGAAATTCAAAATCATTGCAAGCTTACAACCGTAGGAGAGCAAGCCAAACCTCTTCACAGAGTTGTCACGAAAAGCCATCAAAGGAGCAGCAACGTGCTGTCGTAGAGTTGAACGCCTTCCAGTCGTAGAAGCCGAGGACAGGAACTTCGTGATGGGCGATTGACGGAATGGGCTTTTAACTGTAACTATAGATCTAACACATCAATTCCACAAAGCTGCTTAATCAGTGCAGGTATGGTCATCATCTTAATCAGTGTATGGACATCAATTGTGGAATCTAGTTGACAATGTCGCAATCAGGAGGGCGGTGCCGGGAGCGGTACGAGCCCGATTCTAGCTGTCCTGCTCTAACAATAAAGATCGGCTAGCAATCGACCTTGAAAGAAAGTACCATCGATGAACACCGCTTGTGGGCTCATTCCCTGCTATCAAAACCACCCGATCGACTGCGACGTTATCAACTGTGGTTGCCCGGAAGGCAGTGAATGAAAATGAGGACAAGAAAGAAAAATAGAATAACTCACTAAAACTGGACTCTTTCTTCCGTCTCTTATGAATGGGAGTCTGATCCGTAGGACTATTTCGCCGCTTTGGTTTCGGTGTAGTTCCTGGAATATGAAACGTACTCAACACGCTTGAGCTAATAATCTCAGAATTATACCGTTGATGTTGAAAAGTCCCCCATTTGATTCCTTTGCGGCCATAAACGTTCCCAACCCCAAGCCACCGAACAGCATGTTTCGTTTCATTGGTTGGAGTGTCCTTCACAGCTCGCGATCTGTTGTTCCTTAAAAAATTTTCCCATTGTGGAAGGAACTGTTGCAGTCAACTAAACACGCGCTCAAGTGTGCTTTCCTGCAATACCGACATCAGCGAAGCATCTGCCAGCATTGTAAGGGAGCGCGCGCTTGAATCCGGCTGTGCATGCGCTATTTCTAATCAAGTGGCACGTAAAAACTGATCAGGCGCTAAAAAAACCTTTGAATCTTCTCTGTGTCTGATTCCTGCTCACTTTCGTCTTTCATGACCTCCGCCTCCAAAACGTCGTATAGTCCCACGCGTGATACCTCCTTCAAGTATGACTGCTCTGATTCACTCGACAATAACTGAAATAGAAACGAAATCCGGAGTGTCATTTACAACGCGAGATACTTCAGGACAGTCCTCAGACCACAACGTTTTTCGAATACATGAACTAGGTCAAACAACGATGTAAGATATGCTCCCACCTTCTCCAACGAACGTTCCCTCTCTTCTTCCTTGTCTAGTAACCCAAGAGCGATTTTGCGGAATTTGCGGCCGTAGTGCAAAAAGTAAGGATTCTCCAGGTTGAACTTTTCACAGTTGTCGGTCATCAAAAGAACATCCGTACGCAATGATCCTATGGAATCTGAAAAACACACACGACTTCAACAACTCCATCATATTACTGTTTCCCAGTTGTTTGAGCGGATTGTTTATAGTAATACAAGCTCAATGTTAACCTTGTTCCAAAACCCTATCTACTAGCTGTCTTTCAAGGTATTCAACAAGCTTCAGAACGGTATAAAGGCTGAGCTCGTAACAAAGAACAGCCTTCGAGTTTTGTTTCCGGGACTACCATAGAGGAGTCATGTCACTTGTTAGGGCCACATCGCCTTTGTTACTCAGCGGAGCTGCGAAAGTGGGACAATCTCAGAGAGTGAGGACCAAACTACTTGAACAAGGAAGGAGGCTATGAACTGGTTCCACGCAGAGACTGTCTTGGAGGTAAACAGTAGTGTTGAACCCTCATCATTGAGAAGATGGGTGATAAAGAGAACGTGAGACGTGGGGATAAAATAATACCGGCTCCCGAGAGTATTCTTTCCTCTGCACAACCTTTTCATTTTTCACGACCAATACAGAAATTATCGGATTGACCCGGGACGAGGGAGTTCATTCATACACTCAGGATACTGGACATTAAGAGCTTGTAATTAGGACCTTTAGCATAGCTTGAACAGTAGAGTAATACTTTTGAACAACGCACCATATTTCCCTTTCTCTAGCTTTTTCCTCATCGTGGAGATGTCCATTGGATGCTTGATGAAATCCCGATAACCATCCACAGTAACTGGGGATGTGAAGACCTAAATAAGACAAATAATAAGAAGTTTTTACCACACCTCTTTGTCTAATCACTAACCTTTTCTTTGTCCTTATCAGCTAGGCGATCAAGCAGCTCTTCCAATACCAAAGACGTTGGCTTGAGCAATGTTGCCATAAGTGTGGCAGACACCTTTCGCTGAAGAAAACAAGCAGATCATGGAGCTGTAGCAGCACTCACAGTCTCTGATTATGAAAAACAGGAAATCGTGCAGCTCGTAGTCACCGGGCACCTGAGTTGCACAAATCGACACTAGAGGGGGAAAGGGCGAGTGATGGGATGTTTTCACAGTCAACATGGCCGCAATAAGTATTAGTGATGAACCAAATATCGGGACTTCGAAGTGATAAACTTGCAAAACCCCACTGTAATCGTACGGTAACTACCACTGCTTTCCCCTTTGGCTTAGTGGAGTCTGTGCGTAGACACTATGACCAGTTCATTTCTCAGCTCTGTTAAACGAACTGTCCGCTATGACGACGGAAATGTAAACTGCGTGGAAATGGGAGCGTGGTCCGCGGTGAAACGCGACAGGAAGCTGTAAATGTGTTAAGGCGCTGAGTTGCTGCAGTGATACCTCCCTTTTCCAAGTGATCCCGCCTCCAGACTCTGCATTCAAAGGTCTGCTTTGCAGCAAAAACTATGCTACCGGACGAATTGGATTCGTCTCAGATGCGGTGTTTTTCATCTTGTACTCGGGCAGTTCCTGAAGAGTAGAAAGGTTGTTCTCCCTCATGCATTTTCGAATTTTCTCTCCAAAGAACACCACTATGAACGCTCCCTATCGCGGACCGCGCCTTTGGGACTTATCATTACCCTACGAAGGGAATTCTCAACCTATTTCAAAGGACAACCGGAAGAAGCTGGCAATCAACGAAACCTGTGAACAAAAAAAAGAAGAGGTTATCAAAATGTAAATTATCACAACTCACGTGACTCTTCTTATGGCTTTCTCGCTTCTTCACCTGCTCGCAGAGTAATCGTGTTGTTTCGAGACTTACTCGTTTCATCATAAACTGTTCATAGATTCTTTGATCCTCCTGTGCAAGTTCGGAAGCAGGGAAGTTGGAAGCTCGAGATACTTTCTGGTTCAACTGAAAATACATTTTTAATAAGAAAAGGAAAGTGCATTCAAGCAAGCAGGCCGTTCATTATCCAAAACTGCCTTTGTAAGCATGTGTAAGGAATGTAAAACCAATGCAAGGTCGCAAGTTGGTGTATCAAAGGAAGAGTGAAATTTTCTTTATTCGAAAAACGCAGTTGCGACAATTTCACGTTGCTAAGCATCAATTGTTGCTTTACTTTCTTGAATATTCGTTAATTAAGCGTCCTCCAAAACTAGATAAAAGCACAAGCATTTTTCTCTGAAAACTTCTACAAAAGTAGTTAACGCCGTGGATTCTCATAGGAATGGCTGCTGTGGGTTCATGGTTCAAACATGTTACTGTAAGCTTTTCATGACCAGAATAAGAAACCTCAATCATGGTGCCATGTAAAAGAATTCCATGGGCCAACTTGGATAACCCGCGGGACCATATCTAACCAAGTATGGCGAACGATACAATCAAGGTCTCCTTCCTGTTGGTGGGGTTGGTAAAACTTATGGCTACTACCACAGAAATAAACAAAAACTGGTTTGAAGCGAAAGAAGACGAAAATGAACTGCATAGACCAGAAAAAGCGAAATATGAGCAAGCCAAAAGCATTCACTTACCTGTAGTCTCCTAATAAGCGGGACACCGCAACGACTCTTCCTCTTCAGGTACCAATATTGCACTATATCCTCAATGTCAAAACCGACTAAAGCTTTTATGCTTTCCAGCGATTCGATAGAAAGGGTTGGCATGCTAAACGTTGATAAGTACGTCGCAAAAATGAGACGTAAAAACTTATGAAACATACTTCACACTGGGAGATTTACAGGTTTTTGCAGCCATACTCCTCCGAGCTCGACGTATAGCTTCATCCATTCGCTTTTTACGGGCAGCTGGGTCACTTTCGTCATCATCGGCATGCAAGTGACAGTAGACGAAACGCTAAACATTCTATTCATGGAATAATGATAAGAGGGCTTGTGGGTAGTTGCGAAATGGTCAGTTTGACAATACATGACTATTTAAGTACATACAAATGCCATGTTATAGAATCAACCTGTATAAAAAATCTCACAGCTTTCTTTACGCGTGCTTTATTCAAGCAAGAAAGTATCCCTGGTGGAAAGACCTGCCTTCACCAAGCCATTTCTAGCTCATAAAGCAAAAGTTCGGAAAAAAAGGAACAGAGTAGACTTGGTTGTTAAACTGTACTCACAAACCAACAAAGCCTGGAAATGCTCACCTTTTCAACTATTAGGCTAGCAAGAAAGTTCTGCTTTCTCAGATATTGAGCCAGTATTTCGGGTATTTAAACCCAAAATACTGGCTCAATATTTGAGACGTGATCGACAATGTGAGCAGTAATACCTAAAATAGTACTCCTCCTACTGGTACCGCTCACTTGCCTCCTACCTATACTTCTTTTGCAATACAGACAAAAATTGAGTACCATAACGTTAAACCCTCGAACCTCTGCCTCAAACTCTTTTCTTCTACCACTCCTGCTCCAGCATCAGAGCTGCCAAGGTCAAAACAAAGGAGATGTCGCCAGTTGGGAGACAGTCTTCTACGACGCTAATGTTTCAATGCGCTGACCTACAATCACGGAGACGAAGTGAAGTATGAATTTCCGTGTGAACTCAGACTGAGGAAGCTGCGGATCATGTCATCACTACTGGATAAAGAAGCTGCTTCCACGGCCCGCAAAGCAGCTACGGGGTCTGAACCTCCAAAAATGGTCGACAGCTTCCCTTTTGCACCGATGTGGTCCAGACACTGCTCCTTCTAACTGCTAGTTGTCCTCCGAGCTAACCCGTTACATGGACCAGAAAAGCTTTGAGACTCGTGCCCTAGTCACGGTCAAGATGTCGTCCAATTTCACGTCGCGGCGGCCTCCATTGTGAGGCGATGACATCCATTTGAAACTAAAAGATTGGCAAGAACCCCGAAAAACATTGCTGTACTTTGAAGAATTCTTTTTCACGCTATTATTCGCTCTCACAGCATTTCTTGCTTATCATAATTTTGCCGTCCTTCTGAATTTCATCAATCGCACAGAATGGATTCTTAGCAATTAGCATTCCAGCATCACAAATTTAACACAATGCGGAGAACGAAAAATTGTCTGCTATGAAAACGTGGACCACACCTGTACATCCATCATTTCAGCATTGTTAGGGTCGAGGCTGCTCTCAATTTTCATAGTCATTCCAGATTGCTGGGCGCAAGTAACATGAAACGCTTTGAGACAACTCCTAGTCGAGCACTGCAGACATGCTCCCATCTTCTTTCTGAAATATTTCAAAGCGTTGTCAAATCAAATCGTAAGTATGAATGATTCAGTGATATTCCACACTACCGACTACATCACTATGGCAGAAGAAACATAAAAATTTTACTTACCGACATACTAAGCACTTCAACTTGCACCTTCGCTCCAGCGAAGCGTCAACGCCTTCAATTGGCTCCAAAAATACAAGGTTCCCAAAATGCACCTGAATTGATGAATCATAACATGCAGAATGATCATTGTTACGATTCCAAGCATGCATGAATACAGCGTTGTTCACTGCGGATGAAGTGGCGGGTCAGGGTGGCTGAGTTTGGCGCGCCGCCATCCCGTTCTCCACGAGTAGTTCAAGCAGGCAAGCGACAACTCGTGGAAAACGGCTTACATGACAACATAAAACCTTGTCGCTTTCTGAAAGAAAAATCGGGCTAGCGCTGCGCCAAATCCATCCTCTTGACAGTTCATCTTACTGCGGCGAACAAAATTGCAGTACCACTTTTACAAGAAGATTAACCTTACGATTAAAAGAACTTTTCAAAAGCAACTGGGAAGATAGTGAGAGAATAGTACCTCGTTAAGCCATATAGCACAAATCACATGTGCCCATCTGCCATCACTAGTCTGTTTGAATGCACCGCTTGTGTTCGGACACAAGCAGCATTCCACCTGAGCAGAAGGAGAAAGTTTGCATCGGCGACACAACCACTGCCACTTTTACAAGAAGATTAACCTTACGATTAAAAGAACTTTTCAAAAGCAACTGGGAAGATAGTGAGAGAATAGTACCTCGTTAAGCCATATAGCACAAATCACATGTGCCCATCTGCCATCACTAGTCTGTTTGAATGCACCGCTTGTGTTCGGACACAAGCAGCATTCCACCTGAGCAGAAGGAGAAAGTTTGCATCGGCGACACAACCACTGCCCTTCCGGAATGTAAGGCACGCCGTAGCAATCCTAAACAGAAGCTTGAACCTTGCCGAAAACTGCTGTCGCGCTCAATTTATTGCTTATCTGGAATACGAGAAAATACGACAACGAAAACGTACTTGGTGAACGGCAATGTTACACATATCGCAGTAGATTATTTGGTTCACATTGTTCACATCTCCATCGCCACAGACGCAACAAACGTCGTCGCCATCCATGGAAGAGCCGGGCATAATTGAAGACGGCGACCCTTTGACCTACAATTAACAGGAAGATCGCCCTTCGACAAAAAACTGGCGAAAGAACAATTGATCAAAACTACTTCAAAAAATGCAGTCACGGAAAAAAAACTTGGAACAAGCCCAAGTCGCGCGCTTTTAATAGTTTACATACAATTTTCAAATTGCACATGAAAACTTTGTCAGCTCAAATCAAGTAATTAAAACGCTGTACTAGAAAATAAAGTTTGTTGATTAAATTCGTTACCGGGACAGAATTTTGAAGATTATTGCGATGCGGCATGCCGCTGCCACTCTGATATTGGACCGGTTTTCAAAGTTTCTAATGCTTTGGGAACAACATAGGTTTCTCGAGAGTTGTAAAAAAAAGCGAAAAAGGGAGCGAACACTCAGACAGGTGTGATCTTCTTCCGATGGATTGCAAAGCATTAGAAACTTTGAAAACCGGTCCAATATCAGAGTGGCAGCGGCATGCCGCATCGCAATAATCTTCAAAATTCTGTCCCGGTAACGAATCTAATCAACAAACTTTATTTTTTGGAATAGCATTTTAAGGCGTACTTGATTTGAGCAAACAAAGTTTTCATGTGCAATTTGAAAATTGTATGTAAAACTATTAAAAGCGCGCGACTTGGGCTTGTTCCAAGTTTTTTTTCCGCGAATGTATATATGTATATACATATAAAGGCTTTGGAGAATTTTATTTAATGCTTCTACACACTGAGATGAATAGGAGAAGCATGAACCAGTGGAAGGGATAGGCATTTTCCACCATCCTTAATCCTTTGATCTTAAACTCGGTCAAATCCCAGATCGTCTCCTGCCATTCAAAACCGTAGCAGCTTATTAAGTATGTGGTCCATATGAATTGCGGGGGCTAGCCGATGTACAAGCCATTGTTTATAATCCCAGAATCTGAGACTAACATACCATCCCCGTGCAGTAAATGTCCTGGCTGGCCTGCACCAGGCGATCCGAAATTGACCCCAGGATCGAGCACGTGAGAAACAAGCCACTTGCCACTACACCAACCCCAACTCATAACTCACACAAACATCACCCTCCAACGTTACTGCACATTCAATCACATCTACACCCAGATTCACATAAAAAAGGAAAGTGCCGAAAATTATACTGATGAACGGCAGAGGACTGTTGAATCAGCTTGTGCGATCAGGCCAGGCGTTCACAAAAACAGTGGAACTGGAGAAAGGAGAAATCTGATCGAAGCCGTTCATCTAATCAGAATTAGAGGCAGGGTTCATTACACAAAGATTCCGCGGAATCTGCGGAAAACAATGCATACATACAGATTCGAAGAATCCAAAAGTTCCGCGGAATTAGATGTAATGTACAGAGCGGAGGTAACTAGTGAGTTCCGATCATGCCTTCTTCAGCTATTTCACAGATCATTTCAGTCTGCGAATTCCACAGAATCTGCACAATCTTCAAATCAGCATCACACTTTACAAAGGATATAGAGGAGCACATAGTTTCATTGGTGTTCAAAACGAAAAAGCAGGAAGAGAGATGCGAAATATGGATAAGCATTGATAAAAAGAATTAAAAGCAGCAGTGAGCAGACCTCGAAGTGGCTTTCCTTCTCGAGCCGATCCATCACCTGCTCCATTTGTTCGGGTAACAATACACTAGCCTTGTTTTTCTTGCGTTCTCTGTTGATATTTTTGATCCAAAGATAATCCTGGAAGGTGATCTATGGGAAACATAACCACGCTCAAAAAAAAGAAAATGTATGAATTTATTTTTCCAAATACTTACTACTACTAATAACTTAATACTTCTAAGTAAAAGTGACTATAGAGAAGTTTGCAAAAATAGACAACCCACCTCTTCATCGCAGTCATATTCTACCATTCGATCAAAGTCGGACTTAGTTTTTTCGACAAACTTTATCAGCTGTTCCGGCCGTTTTCGAGGGGGCAGTGCGGACACGAGGGAGTCAACGGTCTTGTATTCCGCAGCAGGGACGGACACATCTGCTGCTTTGAAATGCTGCAAAGTGAACAGTGATCGTGACTTACGGTACAATTAGGAAATCAGATGGGTTTTTAAATAGGAAAGTCAAAATTCAATGCCATCGATATAACTTATTTAGCCGGGCATTTGAAGGAAGGAGGATAAATAAAAGGGAAGGGAAAATGGAGAAAGAAAAAGAGGGAACAAGGAGGAAAAAGAAAGGCAGAGAGAGGTTTGCGGTTTACAGAGACGAAACTTACTGAGCCAAAAAAATTGCGATGAAAATCCAAATGATGGGGAATGTAAGAAGGACAATCAGAGACATAACGTCACGTGACAGATCACCAGAAGGTCAGCGGACAAGGCTTACACAAAGGTTAACTGTTGTAAAAACTAAATAATAAGTAATATAAAACAGAAAACAAATAAGCAACGAACCTCCCTATAAGCTTGGAGAACGACAGCAGCTTTCTGATCCGAAGGAAGTTTTGAGTCATCAGCATGAGTTATAGTACAAAACGAATTCACATTAACACGATCACCGTTGCGAAGTTGAAGGAACTTGACGCTATCCGAAGATGTTGCCATAGCCCACCCAGGTGATTTAGATATATTCACATTGGATCAGGGCTTAGCAAACGTGTGCTAGAATCCCGTTTTGAGATGGCAAGAGGCAGCTATAACAGGACACCAGCAAACAGCAGGAGAAATATCTGAAAACGACTGAAAGTGAGCACTCCTCCTTTTCACGTGAAAAGCAACAACGAGCGCGAAGAATGGCTTAATTGTCGAAAGTCCCAGTCATGAAAATAGCACAAATCAGAAAATCGCAGCTAATCAGCTGGTATTTTGCAAATGTTTGAGAATCCATTGCGATCGGCAATTTATTGATTTGCACCGCGATGGGGCTTCGCTACAGGACCTTTACTTTGTGTAATTGCAGAACCCGCACAAAACATCCGTCGATATCTCACGGCGTACACTGAGGTAAGAAATGTTTTCTAGCGGGGAAACATTGGAGTTCGCAAGTCTAATTCAAACTATATTCTTTCGAAATCAGGCAGTGAATGAACTTTACTGTGCTTCAGGGGACTTCCTTGGTTATGGCAGCGTTTAATCACCTTCCACAATTCTCTTTTTCAAAGGGGTGAATGCACAAAAGGATAAGCACACTCATCTTTGCTATTCAGATGCTGAGACGTTACATCGCGCAGCAGTTCTGATCTTCAATACAGAATCGCATTTCAAACGCATGGCCATTCCAAGATCAGGCAATGAAGTCATTAAAAGTACAGTAATCACTATCCGAAAGGCGAAACGGGGACCGGCAGCTGAGGAAGGCTAGTCATGTAATGTGGTGCTTTAGAAAATGTACTCCCATCGAGAGAAACGCTGTCGGAGCCTCGTTAGCTCAGTTGGTAGAGCGTTAGACTTTTAATCTAACGGTCAGGGGTTCGAGTCCCCTACGGGGCTTGACGTTTTGCCTTATTAGATAGGTTATGCAGGTACGAGAGCTACAGAATCATATGTGGTGACATCTAGTGTTGTAGTTGCTTTAGAAAATGTACTCCCATCGAGAGAAACGCTGTCGGAGCCTCGTTAGCTCAGTTGGTAGAGCGTTAGACTTTTAATCTAACGGTCAGGGGTTCGAGTCCCCTACGGGGCTTGACGTTTTGCCTTATTAGATAGGTTATGCAGGTACGAGAGCTACAGAATCATATGTGGTGACATCTAGTGTTGTAGTTGCTTTAGAAAATGTACTCCCATCGAGAGAAACGCTGTCGGAGCCTCGTTAGCTCAGTTGGTAGAGCGTTAGACTTTTAATCTAACGGTCAGGGGTTCGAGTCCCCTACGGGGCTTGACGTTTTGCCTTATTAGATATAGTTATAGTTAGAGCTAACAGAATCATATGTGGTGACATCTAGTGTTGTAGTTGCTTTAGAAAATGTACTCCCATCGAGAGAAACGCTGTCGGAGCCTCGTTAGCTCAGTTGGTAGAGCGTTAGACTTTTAATCTAACGGTCAGGGGTTCGAGTCCCCTACGGGGCTTGACGTTTTGCCTTATTAGATAGGTTATGCAGGTACGAGAGCTACAGAATCATATGTGGTGACATCTAGTGTTGTAGTTGCTTTAGAAAATGTACTCCCATCGAGAGAAACGCTGTCGGAGCCTCGTTAGCTCAGTTGGTAGAGCGTTAGACTTTTAATCTAACGGTCAGGGGTTCGAGTCCCCTACGGGGCTTGACGTTTTGCCTTATTAGATAGGTTATGCAGGTACGAGAGCTACAGAATCATATGTGGTGACATCTAGTGTTGTAGTTGCTTTAGAAAATGTACTCCCATCGAGAGAAACGCTGTCGGAGCCTCGTTAGCTCAGTTGGTAGAGCGTTAGACTTTTAATCTAACGGTCAGGGGTTCGAGTCCCCTACGGGGCTTGACGTTTTGCCTTATTAGATAGGTTATGCAGGTACGAGAGCTACAGAATCATATGTGGTGACATCTAGTGTTGTAGTTGCTTTAGAAAATGTACTCCCATCGAGAGAAACGCTGTCGGAGCCTCGTTAGCTCAGTTGGTAGAGCGTTAGACTTTTAATCTAACGGTCAGGGGTTCGAGTCCCCTACGGGGCTTGACGTTTTGCCTTATTAGATAGGTTATGCAGGTACGAGAGCTACAGAATCATATGTGGTGACATCTAGTGTTGTAGTTGCTTTAGAAAATGTACTCCCCCATCGAGAGAAACGCTGTCGGAGCCTCGTTAGCTCAGTTGGTAGAGCGTTAGACTTTTAATCTAACGGTCAGGGGTTCGAGTCCCCTACGGGGCTTGACGTTTTGCCTTATTAGATAGGTTATGCAGGTACGAGAGCTACAGAATCATATGTGGTGACATCTAGTGTTGTAGTTGCTTTAGAAAATGTACTCCCATCGAGAGAAACGCTGTCGGAGCCTCGTTAGCTCAGTTGGTAGAGCGTTAGACTTTTAATCTAACGGTCAGGGGTTCGAGTCCCCTACGGGGCTTGACGTTTTGCCTTATTAGATAGGTTATGCAGGTACGAGAGCTACAGAATCATATGTGGTGACATCTAGTGTTGTAGTTGCTTTAGAAAATGTACTCCCATCGAGAGAAACGCTGTCGGAGCCTCGTTAGCTCAGTTGGTAGAGCGTTAGACTTTTAATCTAACGGTCAGGGGTTCGAGTCCCCTACGGGGCTTGACGTTTTGCCTTATTAGATAGGTTATGCAGGTACGAGAGCTACAGAATCATATGTGGTGACAACTAATGTCGTGGTTGCTTTAGAAAATGTACGGCCACTCAGCGAAGCGCTGCTGGAGCCTCGTTAGCTCAGTTGGTAGAGCGTTAGACTTTTAATCTAACGGTCAGGGGTTCGAGTCCCCTACGGGGCTTGATATTTTGGTCGACCGTAGAGAATACGCATTTACGAGAAGTACTCAGTCATATGTGATAAAAACTAATGTCGTGATTGCTTTAGAAAATGTACGGCCACTCAGCGAAGCGCTGCTGGAGCCTCGTTAGCTCAGTTGGTAGAGCGTTAGACTTTTAATCTAACGGTCAGGGGTTCGAGTCCCCTACGGGGCTTGACGTTTTGCCTTATTAGATAGGTTATGCAGGTACGAGAGCTACAGAATCATATGTGGTGACATCTAGTGTTGTAGTTGCTTTAGAAAATGTACTCCCATCGAGAGAAACGCTGTCGGAGCCTCGTTAGCTCAGTTGGTAGAGCGTTAGACTTTTAATCTAACGGTCAGGGGTTCGAGTCCCCTACGGGGCTTGACGTTTTGCCTTATTAGATAGGTTATGCAGGTACGAGAGCTACAGAATCATATGTGGTGACATCTAGTGTTGTAGTTGCTTTAGAAAATGTACTCCCATCGAGAGAAACGCTGTCGGAGCCTCGTTAGCTCAGTTGGTAGAGCGTTAGACTTTTAATCTAACGGTCAGGGGTTCGAGTCCCCTACGGGGCTTGACGTTTTGCCTTATTAGATAGGTTATGCAGGTACGAGAGCTACAGAATCATATGTGGTGACATCTAGTGTTGTAGTTGCTTTAGAAAATGTACTCCCATCGAGAGAAACGCTGTCGGAGCCTCGTTAGCTCAGTTGGTAGAGCGTTAGACTTTTAATCTAACGGTCAGGGGTTCGAGTCCCCTACGGGGCTTGACGTTTTGCCTTATTAGATAGGTTATGCAGGTACGAGAGCTACAGAATCATATGTGGTGACATCTAGTGTTGTAGTTGCTTTAGAAAATGTACTCCCATCGAGAGAAACGCTGTCGGAGCCTCGTTAGCTCAGTTGGTAGAGCGTTAGACTTTTAATCTAACGGTCAGGGGTTCGAGTCCCCTACGGGGCTTGACGTTTTGCCTTATTAGATAGGTTATGCAGGTACGAGAGCTACAGAATCATATGTGGGTTGTAGCTGGTTTAGAAAAAGTTTTGCTCAGCTGTTAGGAGTATGTTTGGAATGGTCAAGAAATATAACAAAGCGAATGTTCAGAGATAGGTTTGTACTTTCTGTTGCTTTTTCATTTCGCTTGTTTCGTTCTTTAATGTTCAGATGCTGCAACTCTGTTGGTTTCGAGAAATCATTTGTTTCTTTCGAATTCATTCACTCCTTACTGTCGGAAGCCTCTGATGGTGGTCGTGGTTATCCAATGCATTTCACGTTGACTCAAGTTGAAGCTTATGGTATAATAAGGCCTTGACTTCTGTTTTCATGAATTCTATTTCAAAGAGATGGTTGATGGAAGCCACTGAGACACATGCGTGGTGTTTTCCCGAGTCCCGTGCTGAAATTCCTATGCGGGTTTGTTTTTCTCTCTGAATAACTAATAATCCGATTGTTCGGAGTTTTCATGTGAAGACACCAGATGCCTCGAAAAAAATCGAAATATTCTTTTGTTTTTCTTTGCCTTATATATAGTGCGGAAAAATCTATTGTCCCCCTGTAGCATTATCCGGTCCAGGAGAGTTGCGGTTTTGATTGCCTTACATCAGTCACTTACCATTACTGTGCAGCAGACAGTGCTGCTCGTTGACCTGGGCACTATAATTGAGTACCCTTTGCTGTTTCATTATGCCTAACGCTTGATGATCGATGCGTAACAAAACCAAGTAAAAACATTCATTCATTATATTGCAATACATATGCGTGTGTTTACGTGCCGAATGCAGCGGCTGTGAAGACGGATAACTGATCAAAACAGACTGCTGGCTTCATCATACCTTCCCAGAAGGTTTCCTTACACATTAATATTCAACAGTTGTTATTGATCCATTATTGCACAGATGGCAGCCCGAAAACGATGCTTAGCACTTTTTCTCATCACTGCGACTTAATTTCTGGAGAAGCAAAGTCGAGAAGCTGACGATAACATGGAAGGTTCCGCAAGTGCACCTCATATCCCGAGACGGAGAGTCCTTGGCTGCGTAGTTTAGGTAAAGTGGCGACAGCTGCGCTTCTCGTGGGATATTGCAGTTTCAGAACAGTTGCAACCATGACTTGTTCAGTACAAGAAAGGACCATCAAAGGGAGCCATACCACGAACAACGCATTTTACAAAATGTTCAAGTA